TCAAATACATGTGGGTGTTGGACTTAGAAGTTTACTGAAGCTCTTGCTTGCCTTTCATGCCTTTGCCTTAAACTTTTTGTTGTTCTCAGTACATGTTAGTGGTGGAAAATAAGTATTTAAACTTATATTGGGAATTTTTAGCTTCTTGAGGGATACAAAAAAAGAAACATTCATAACTGAACATTCTGTTTCTTAAAATTCATTGTGATTGCAAACATGAAAACATTAAAACTTCAGTGAGCAAATTTTTTATATTTTGCTAAGATACCTCAATCTGTTGCTTACCAGTGATTGATTTAACAATTGATTAAATAAAGTTCAAATTTCAGATCAATATAATGCTGTGCAATGAGCTTGGTGTTTGAATCTAAGGTTAGCTTTTACAGTGGTGCCTTTGTTCTTGGGTCTGCAGGGATCCCCAGGTTGTAGTGGCTTTAGGTGGAGCTAAGAACTTGCTTCTGCTGAGCTGTTTGCAAATAAGGAAGCATTGAAGTTTAGCAAGCACTGATTTCAGTTAATTAATAGCATCATATGTGCTTTGTGACATCTCCTTAAGTGAATAGGAGTGACGTTAGACAGTCCTTGTTTTGAAACTTTGTAACCCTCTAACCAAAGGAGAAGGTTAATTATGAAAAAAACCATTTCAGTGTGGTTGTCTAAAGGGATTATGTGAAGTTGTGAATAGGGCATGACATACTTCACTTAATTTTGTTTCTCCTATGGTAATTGCAACCACATCCATTTTTAATTGCCAGTTTTGTCAATGAATACTTGACAATTTTCTCCATAGCAGTGTTTGTTCATTGAACCAAATGAATACAGCTTCGGAATTTCTCCAGTGGGAAGATCTGCATAGTCCCAGGGTGTTTCTCTGGTTTGTGTAGTACACATCAAACATGGAATTTTTTGGTAAATGAAATGTAAACTTAGATAAAGTTGGATTTTGTAGTGTTTCAAAACTGCTGCTTATTAGAGCTGACTGCCAAGAAAGGGATGCTTGAAAGGCAATACCTTGGAGCCTGGCAGTGTAGAGACTTTGGGACTGATCATTACCTTTGGGATGCCATAATTTACAAAAAGAATCAAGTGAATAGTAAGTAAAAGAAAGTTAAGTGCTTCTGAACAGAAAGGTAGAAGTCTGATACAAAAGCTGCACAGGCACATGGGAGCTCGTTTGATGTGTGACTTGAACTCGAGTAACTTTGTCTTGTAAGGTAGGTAAATCTGGCTGTGATACAGGTTTCATATTAGAGGCTGTGTTTCTAAAACCAAATGTTTGTATTTTCTTACAGCTACAGGATCCAACTACTTTGGAGCTGCATGGCAGAATTGTTTGCATATGGATTAATTTGTTGTTTGTCTTGTGTTTTGTAGGTTGAGATAAAAATGAAGAAGCCAGAGGCTGTAAGATGGGAGAAGCTGGAGGGCCAGGGAGATTCTCCTAAGTTAAAACAATTTACACCAGGTTTGTTCTCTGAACTATTTAGTATTAATGTTTTATTTGTATTGAGTGAGTTACAGTTATTAATAATAGTTCTGTGTTAAATATTGTTTATAAAATCACAGCTTCATATTTGCAATGAAAAGCCTGATCGTCTTGGTTTCACTCTGTCAAGAATTGACAGAAAGTCTGCAAGCCATTAGTGAAACATAGGTATTAAATTTAGTCATAGCCTCTGTTAATCTGATGAATGGTTAAGGGTATACATGTGCTTGTCAGTAAGTCTGCCTGTCTGCTTGGGTCCCTGTTCTGCAGTTCTGTATGTTGTTAAGTGTGTGTGCTGTGGTTTAGCAATGGTACCTCCCAGTTCAGCGCCCCATTGGGCCCCTCCCAAAGGACACCACCGAGGTCTCACTCTCCTTTCCCCTCCCCTTTCTCACTGCAGTGGGATGGAGTTGAGAATTGGAGGCACAATAAGTGAAGGGTTGAGATAAAAACAGTTTACTTGAAACAGCAATTAAATTAGAAAGCAAACAGTAACAGCAACAACATTAATAACAAAAGGCTACAAAAGAGAGAGTGATTTACATGCAAAATGCACCAGTGGACCCCAGTGACAAGGACCAGGGGGTGGATGGTTTCCCCCTCCCCACACCTTTTTCTTGACTGGAAGCCCTGCCCTACTTCTGGGATGCCCAGATCATCCCACCCCAGCACTGATCTGCCCTGTTGTAGAGTATCATCCTGGCATGTCCACTGAGCTTCAGGCCCCACCCCTCACCACTACTGCGAAAAATTAACTCTGTCCTGGCCAGACCCAGACAGCAGTTATATTATGTGACCTGTTGCTTAAATACTTATTGTTTCCCTAAGTATTGGATTTTGCTTGGAGACTAATACATTGGAGTTTTTCAGTACAGATAAACATTCTGTCTTTGACAGAATTTGAATTTCCTGATGTATTGATTTCAGATTTTTTTAAATTTAGCTCAGCTTATTCTATGGCTCTAGGCTACTGTTTCATTTTTTTTTTCTGTCAGCCAATATGTCTTTTTGATATCAATTATCTGTGTTGCTGCTGGCCAGCTTTTTGTGTGTGTGTGTGTTGGATAACAAAATTAGATAACTCTGTTTACCTAAAAATAAACTTCTGCATTTCTTAGTTTCCTTTATTTTTGTTTCTGCAATGCTTATATCAGTTCAGAGGAGTCCATTTTGCATTTTCATGTCCCATTATCATCTCTGATTCATCAGGTACCTGTGTCTCTGATGCTCTCAAAGTAGTGAGAAAATGCTTAGTTAACTAACACTTCTGTTTTCAGATACCCAGCACTTATACCCATCGTCGTCTCACTATACAAGGAACTGGGACAAACTGGTAGTTGAAATCAAAGAAGAGGAGAAAAATGAGAAATTAGAAGGAGATGCTGCTTTAAATAAACTCTTCCAGCAAATCTATTCAGATGGTACAGATGAAGTAAAACGTGCCATGAACAAATCATTCGTAAGTCTTCATTCTTTTCTCTGAAGAAACCTGTGACTTTTGCACACTGATGTGATTTATTAGATTTCACATATGTGGGAAAAGCCTGTTACCAAAATTTTATGTCTGTAAATGAATAAATTTTGGCCATGGGTCTGTTGGAGATACTGGTACAACTACACTCACTGAAAGCTACAGGGCTGTACTCTGGTGAATGTGACTCTTTATAAATCCAAGGTTGTGCTTTGTCACTGGTCTCTTCATTTCAATCTGTATTACCAAAAGAAGTAGAGGCTTGGCTCATGTAGAGCTTGAAGACTTGCCAGGGGGTGAAAGGATCAAATTCCTCTTGATTACTTGACTCTAGTTTAATTTGTAGCCATCACAGGCAAGAACGTGACTGACCCTTTAAAAGCTTCTTGTTAATGAAGCAGCATCTCCCTGTGTCCAGTAGTGATAAAAGTACTGCTGGGCTGGAGATTATGGAATGATGGCTCTGTCAAATTTTATTTCATAGGTACACAATTTCTGTGTAATCACTACTCTTTGAAGTTTGCTGTAGGACCTGTGGCTTTTATATTGCTAGAATGCTCAGCAAACTAAACAAGCTCTTTCTCATATTGCAGATGGAGTCTGGTGGCACAGTTCTGAGCACCAATTGGTCTGATGTTGGTAAAAGGAAGGTAGAAGTAAATCCTCCTGATGACGTGGAATGGAAAAAATTCTAATCCTATTTCTGATCTTTACCATCTCTGTGTTGCCATAGTCATGTACTGACCACTATGTATGGACATAGCATTCTTGGATTCAAAGCACTGAATGTTCCCTTGAAAACAGGAATTGTCTGTACATTTTGCGTGCTTTAGAAATTCCTTCATCTGCAGATCTTAAAGATATACTCAAGAGTGGAACCCTATTTTTATCATCTGTCTTAATTTCTGGGAATTGAGTCCATCAGTCCAAATTTTTACCACCTTTATCAGCTCTCCTCTTTGGGATAGGGTGATCTCTAATGGCTGGTCAGGATTATTGCCTTACACCTGGTATTTCTGTTCAATAACTTATTAGATCTTGGCAATTTTGAGTAAAAACACTTTTCACAACAGTGTTAAAATTGTTTGCTCCTTAACTCTGCTAAATAAAACTGTAAATACAACTTTTTCTATAAGGAAGCTGCTTTATTTCATTTTTAGTATTGTTTTTTGATAGGGGAATCACTTTAAGCATATAGGTAAGGATAAGGTAAGCATGTGAATGTACTGCTTCAAAAGAAAAGCTGGCATGTATAGGAGCTAAATGTGCATTCAGTGAAGAGGATGAGATTACTATTGATGCAGACACAAACCACCCACTTTGGAGTCCTTCCACCTCTGTGATAAGTTGAATTGTAGTCACAGTCATGGAAGATAACAAATTTGTTGTGACTGGAAATTTTTACAGAAAAGTAGGTCTTCTGTCTACCTTCTGAATTCAAAATAAATTTACCTGGAATCAAAGCCAGCAAGCAGTTGCTTTAAGTTACGTAATTTCTGAATAATAGAAACTGTTTAAAGAGCAACTTGTATGTCCTTAATTGCTTCCATTAGTGCAGCTTTATTGTCATGATCAAATTATAAACAACAATAGAGAAAAGGAATTGAGAATCTATGTACTGTCTGTGCTTGTATTTCCTGAATACAAGTTTGCAGGGACCTAGAGATGCTCAAAAGCCATCTGGATATGCTCCTGGGCACCTGGCTCGAGATGCCCCTTCTTGAGCAGGAGGGTTGGACAAGGGCACTTCCAGGGGTGCCTTCTGACCTGAGCCTTTCTGTGATTCCATGGCAGATGAACTCAGAAGGTTGTGCTAAATGTGCCTTGTCTGTGTGCCACTGTCTCTTGGGAATTCAGAGTATGCTGTAATCATAGAAACACCATGAATTGCAAATATTGACAGCGTCATGAAAGCAACTTCATTCCTTGCTAATAACCATTGGATGCTGTTTTAAGTTTGCTACTTTTTCTTGCTTTCCTAATGATGTGGGGTTTTCCAGACCATTTGTTATTCTGCCTGTTGTTTTTGTATTGGACGTGTTATTTTCCTACAGTGTCAACTGGATGAGCTTGGTAAAATAGAAAGGCTGTTAGAACAGGTGTTTTAATAGCATGAGTGAAGTCTGCAGCTGTTAGGTATTAAATGATGATTGAAAATTAAAGAGGAGGAAGGAAGGATCTGTTCTGTTCCTGCTGAGATTTTGCAGTGATGCTGGGAAAGTACAGTGGCTTTTCCCCACTACTGTTACTGTGCTTGTGCAGTAGAGAGATACCGAGGCTTTAAAATCTTACAAATGTTAAAAAGAGAAGGATTTTTTGGATGTAGACTATGACTACAAGTCTTGACATAATTGCAGTTTCTTGATGCACTGAGATCATGATGATGCAGTGCAGACTGGGCAGTGATTTCTTTTCCCTCACTTCTGGCTTCAGAATTGATAGATGTTTTCCAAAGTTCAAATTTGGTAACCTTCAGAACCCAATGTTACCCTGGTCTTCGAATGCAATGAACAGAGTTGGATGGGATTTAGGAAGGGTTTTGTGTGCCTTACCTCTTGACATTTACTGAACAATGTCTGCTTCTTGGAAGTTTCTCAAAGCATGAACTTCGGACATGTTTCAGAGAAGAATTTTTAGCTTTGGTGTGAGGCTTTTCTTGACCTTCAGAGAATTCTGAGTAGCTAGTTGCTCGATATGTAGAGCATTTGCCCATCCATATGGGATGCTAACATTGGAGTGATTTGATTTGGAATAGGTACTTGGAACTCCACTCTCCCAGATAAGTGCTTTGCTGCTTTTTATTTATGCGCGAAAGCATTTCTTGCTTTTTAATGTAGAAGGAAGACAAATGTCTGAGTGCTTCACTCTGTCACAAAATTGGGTTCTTGTCTCTTGGCCAGCCTTGCTTTATAAATGTCATTCAGAGTACTTAACAGAGCTTAGAAAAGGCTTGCTGTGGGGAAAAGCCTAGGTAAACATCTCTTAAATAGAAATTTAAAAATAATTTGAAGATGTTTTCTGCCAATCAAGTTGCTCTTACTTACTGAAGAGAATGTAGCAGAGGTTCTTTGTCTTTGCTTACTGAAAGACCATGGGAGCATTATGTCAGATAAACACAATATATTCTTGTATTAAGTGGGTACTGTTTCACTGCTTTGAGATTCAATTCACTTAGCTTAAGGCAAAAAGTAAAATTAAATGCATTGCTACTTACGTACTCTTGAGGCATATGTAATGCAAATATAATGCTTTAGCTTCAGGCTAAAACTTGTAGCAATCAAGTGGTAGAGCTCTCTGTCCATCTCAATCCTGTAAACCAAGTTTGCAGGTCTAGACATAATTCCAGCATGTTTCTGAGCACCAGCAGATAATCTGTGTGTGTTCCTCCTTCAAGTTAAGGTTAATCAATAATGGCATGTCTTGTTGCCTTATAGGTTGAGGGAAGTGTGTGTGGGGCGGGGGAAGAGGTATTGGGTTTTTTGTTTGGAGGGGATTGGAATAAATCAGTAGGCAAAATTTCCTTAGAAAGCTGGGGGGGAAGGTGCTTCATAAACTTCATGAACAGAGTGTTTTGTTCCTGTCAAAACACACACACACAAAATGGTACCAGAAGCTGTAGGTCACGAGCATGCTAGCAAGTAGCTTGGGCGTTGAATAGAGGTTCTGATAAACAAACCAGTGACAAAGGGAATTTCCTTTGGGACTGGAGAGGGTGAGTGGAATATGTAGCAGCACTGATAATGAGTTGGCTGGAGGAAGGGAACTGCCTGCAAGGGCAGAATGGATGATGTTTTAATTGCATTCAAATTACTTGAGGGTTTTTTCCCCAAGCCTTTTGGTCATCTGTACATAGTGCTGTCTGGAAGGCCAAGGCAGTGTCACCTCAGTGCTCTGAAGTGATGTGATGACCTCAGTGATCTGTGTACTGATGGAAATACTGGAAGAGGACAGCAAGATGTTACAGTGCCCATTTAATACCACAGATGGGATTGCTCTCTGCTCCTGCTCTTGGGGAAGATGCCTGCTGCAGCTTAAGGCTGCCTCTCTCATCTTTGATATATGTGCTGGTGGAAGACCAGTTTGTAGATGTGTATTTGTAAAAGGCCAGCTGAGCCTCTCAGAAGCAGAAGATGGTGCTCCTGGTTCAGTCTCTCTTTTGCCCTTTCTGAGCAGAGATTCTCTCCACCCAGACATGTCAATCAGCAATCAGTTCATTGCCAGCTGTAGTTTTATGCTTCGCTACTTTTTTTTTTTCCCCCCACACTGCATGGAACAAGTGCTTAGTCTGTTCTTCAGTGAAACTTTCTTGGAATTTTTTTGTGATGCAGTAGGGGTGAAGTGTTACATGGGAGGTAGAAGCCACATCACCCCATGGCTCCCAGCTGCTTTTTGCTTTTTCAATGTAGATACAAGTGGAGGGTGATTCCTGTATGAAAAAGGACAAAGGCCTCTTTTGTTTTAAGTGGGGAGAAAGGAAACTGTAGATTTAGTAAAAAGATTCCTCCTGCCTTCTCATCACTGGCTTTCCATCTATTTAACCATATGCTTCCTGTTTTCCATCTCTTTTTCACCAGCCTGAATTTATCCCCTTTTTCTGCTCTAATCTGCTCTGCCATTCTAATCCTCCTAGTAGAATCACATGGGTAATTAAGTTTTAAGGATAGTGGAACTGCAGTGCTGTGACAAACACACCCACCTGTGGTGGGAGACACTGTTGATGACAAACTCATTCCTCTTCTCTTTCCCTAAACTTTGGCCTAGCTGTTTTCTGCTGGCCCAGGGTCAGGTTCAAGGAACACCCTGCTCCGTATTTCCCCAAATGGTGATATGTTGTAACCTCTTGAGTGTGCCAAGGTAAGACATTTGTAATGGCAGTGAGAAACTTACTACTTTACTGGCACTAAATAGTGTACAGTAGTGAAAGGAGCACTGTGGATGGTTAGAACTGGAGTCTCAGCCACAACCACAGGGAATATCACAACATCTTTTCACACTGATGGCTTTTTGGTTTTACTGCTATCCCTGCGTTGTCTCAGAACTTTTCCTTCAAAATCAGATTTTGACGGGAAGATTGGTTTTTTCCAACCTTGCTGCAGCATGAGGTCTTTACTTTTCTCTCTTTAAATCCAATATGAATGTAAATAGGAATTTCTTCACTAGAAGCTTGAGTCGGAGGAGACATTTTGTTTCCTACCTCTTGGAAATGGATAAATGTTATGGTCACTGTGGCTTTTGTGGCATGGTGTGCACAGACATGTTCTTGAGATGTACATGCCATATGTGACAGCTCTATATGCATGAGCAGGATGCTGTTTTTACTTCTTACATGCTTTGTGACTGCCTGTAGAAAGCAAATGATTACAAGCTTTTGTTAAAAATTAATTCTGTTAAGTATGTGTAGACATGGAAATCACCTACCAGAAAGTTGGTTTTGTGTCTTCAGAAGGAGGCTGTTTTACTGGGGGACACAGAGAGAAGCAGATGACAGGTTGCCTCAAGATGCAAAAGAGAGCAACAGTCTAGTTCAGACATACACACAATCACATTTCTCTCTCTTTGCCTCCAGTGTTTCACTTGCTGATGCCCTTCTTCTCCTCAGACAATTCTTTAATGAGTATGTGAAAGAATTGTTACACCTTCTACACTGAAAAAGGCACAGAAAGCAACTGGGGTTTTTTTAATGTGTTTGTTTAATCTGCAGTAAAAAAAAAAAGGAAAACTGACTTTTCTAAGCATATGATAGATGTACTTCTAAAACAACATAATGATCAAGGTCATTTTCAGTTTAAAAAGCAGAAACTCAAATTTAACAGGCCTTGAAATCCCACTTTAAGAAGTTTATAATTTAAATATTTCAAAGCAAGTCTGTCCTTCAGATTAAGGGAAGGTGAAGTTTATACTAAAAAGCTACAATAGAACAAAATACTGAATTCTGCTTTCATCTTATTCTCATTTAACACTTTGCTTTTCAGTTATGCAGTTTAGCATTCCACATGAGGTTGTCTTTATTTTCTTTAAGCCACGATTATGTCAAATTAATTCCTCTTTTTCTGTGTGTCACGCAGTGTTAATAACATTACTGGGTTTGCAACATCTCAAGAGCTGTTTAGTCACAAAAATGAATGCTCCAGAAAGCAGACTATAGGAAAAGCTGAACCATTTTGTAAATAAAGATCATGTAGATGGCTCCATAAACTTGAAGGTAGGGTTCAAGATACATAATATGGATAAAGGCAGTGTAATACCACTAATTTTGTTTTTCAAGGCTAGAAATACTAAATTGTTCCACCTTTGAGTGTTTCAGCTTAGTACCTTCCTTAGAGATTTAATGTGTAATGGGATCAATCCCAATAATTGCTGAGTTTGCCTTAGCAAAAAGGGTGAGGTGAGAAAGGAGAGGGAAAAAAAAAAGGCTTTTCTTTTTTCCCCCTCCCTTCTGGTAAACAGTTTCTCTTGTGGGGAAGGGATGTGAGCTTCAGCAAAACTAAAGGAACTGGTGTGAATGGCTGCTATCCATGTGAAATAAAGAAGGGTTGTAATCTTGTGTCAAAAGTGTCTAGTTCAAGGATTTATAAATAACAGTGGCTGTTGTACATTCTGAACGGTCTTGAGACTCCTTGATCTGTAACTGCATGTAAATACTTTTGCTGTAGTAGCTGGATAGCAGATACTTGTTAGACACTCCAGTGGTATCATGGATACAGGATTCTTGATGCTGGGGCTTCTTTGAAGTTGGGATGTGCGAAGGGTTTTGATTCTGCGGCCACTCACATCCCCTTCCACAGCCCTTTTTCCTGCTGTTTGTTTCCGATTTAGCACAATGTGCGCTTTCCCGTGTGCCCTGGAGCAGCTTTGTGGGAAAGGTATGCTGTAATTGGTTTATAACCATTCATAATGACCTGGCAACTCTGAATAGCAACAGGGAGCAACTTAAGTTGTGATTTATTTAAGTAAGCTACATGGATTAAAGGCACTCCCAAGTGTACAAGTTGAGCTAGTTGCTTAATTGGGTGTAAATTTTCACATATAGCTTGGAAAGAGAGGCGTTTGTTTTGAAAGGCTGAATTTAGATGTATGGGGAAGCTTCTGGGCTGCTAAACCAATTTTGAGCAAAGTTTAATGTTGTCTTTTTTGGGGAAGTCTCAGTTTTTTAATTCAGCAAGTGCTATTATACCCTTGCCTCTTGTAAAGCTAATGAAATATTAACTTGAGCATTTAATTTGCAGCTGGAATATCTGACCTTGCTTTTGGTGCAGAAAAACAGGCTCTGATTTTGTAAGGCAGGATCGGTACCGCTGCTTTGGCTTTAGTCTTTTACCAGTTCATTGTATTCCTGCTCATTTTGTCAAGGCTCCATTGAGTTTGTTTTGTTTTGGAGCAGGGATTTGCTCACACGACGCCCATGATGCGCGCGACCCACCAGCTGCAGGGCATGATGAGGCGGCAGGCGCTGCGGCAGCCCTGGTAGTTGTAGGGCCACGGCTGGAAGCCCAGGAGGGGCTCGCAGATCCGCTGGCACTGCGTGTAACTCCGCCGGCACTCGATGCAGCACACGCCCAGGTGATCCAGCATGGGGTCAAAGGCCATCCCTTCACCTTCCAGCTGCTGGAACGTGAAATGTTAAATGTCATCCCAGTGCTCTCATTCTCATGGAATAGCAGAATACATCCATGCTCCCCTTAACTCCACAAAGGGTAAAACCTGCCGTCTTGGGCTGTGGAAGTTGACAGAACTCCCACTAAGTGTCCCAGGCATCTTGCTTTATTATTTTTTTCTTTTGACTTGCTCTCTTTGGCACAAACATAGAATTGGTGCGATCACCCTTGCAAAATGGAAAGAGCAACAGGCAGCTCTAACTTCATTATTTTTATTCTACTGTCCTTGCAAAAGCTCCAGCAACAGTAAGCTCCTCCCAAACTTTAAATATTAGTGACAGAAATTATTTCAAGATAGTTACCTGAATCTTTAATGTAGGTGAGAATTCCTGAAATATATGATGTGGTTTTTATGATTAGTTTTAGATTCTGTATTTTAATGCTTTTTACAGCCCTTTTAGGAAACTATTCCTCTGGTTCCCTGCAGTTTCCTGAGGATTTGGCTCTTGTCTCTGAGTCTGGTTCCTTCCCTCCCACCCCACTACACTTAGGTGCATTGTTGACAGTGAGAATTGTGTCTGTTCTGTAGCTGACAGTAAGGAGTTATATGGAGCAAAGCATGCACAAAATACCTAAAAGCCTTTACCCTTCAAAATGCCTCATTTCTGGGGAAAAAAAGGTAACCTGATATTCTGCTTTTGGAAACTTGGGTTGTTCTTTGCCCATTGGTGTTACTTCAAGAAAAGCAGCAGTAATGCACAAATGCTGAAGTACCAGTCAGCTTTTTATCTGACCATTTGTAATTCATTTTTGGAAAGTAGTGGCACAACAAAAAAAGTAACACAGAAAGGTGCCACCCCCTGTCTGGGCTTGCACAGGACACTAGTGACAGCTGGGTGTTTTTAGGGACCCCAGCAACTCCTTCCCAGTCCTGAGAGCAGGGAAGATGTTTTCTTGGTCAGGATTCATCATCCTTGAGTTCAGATACCTGCACCATGAACATCACCTGAGTTCATTATCCAGACTCCACTTACAGTGAGTAAAGAGAAATAGCTCTAGGGAGGGTTCATTTCATCCTTCAGGAAAGGCCTGGAGCATAATGAATGGTGCTTGTCAGTCCAGTGGCTGGCTCTGACAAAGCCTGGTGATAGGCATGGGTGCAGGAGCTGTGAGGGCAAACCCTGCCCTGCAGCTGAGGGAAGCCTGATGGCTGCATCTGTCTGGCCCTTTTCCATTCAGCTGGCTGCCCCTGGCTGGAAAAGCAGACCTGTGGCACTTGTGCCTCCAGAGGCAGGGCAGCTCAGACCTCATGAGATGGTCACCTTAGTGGCTGTGAGGAGAAGCTACATTCCAGTGCCACTGCTGTTTTACTGACCTCGTGAGAGAGTCGATTTAGATCCACTTTATTTGGAGTGATTAATTTAAGTTTAATTAAGGGATGTCAACTTGGCAGAATGCTGTCACAGTATAATGATCTCCTGCTGTTGCATAAATGTCAAGTCAAAGCTGGGACTTACTTCCAAAGCAGGAGGCATTTATCTTGTGACAGTGTTGTATTAAAATGACTTACTCCCGCTGCACCAAATGGTGGGTGTAAATTGTCTGGCGCTGGTGCAGCAGACTGGAAGGTGCCTCCTGCACAGCCAGTGTTCCTGCAGCGTGGCAGAGGTGTTGGGGCACAGCAGGGTGGCTCCTCTGCTCTTTCTGGGGGCTGCTGCTTCTTGAAGGGTGAGAACAAGTTTTACAACAGTCATCCTCCACCCACTGCTGCTATCTCAAAACAGATTCTTCTCTGTCCGGTTATTGCCAGTCTAGGATTGCTTATCCTCACAGAGGAGAGGCTGAGCAAGAAATTTATTTGGTTGAACCTTTATCTCTTTGCACCCAGACACTTCTGCTGTGTTCCCCTGTAGCAGTCATGTCTGGTACTAATTTCTGTTTGAGAGCAAAGCATGTTTCTAGCTACTGGACTCTCTTCACATAGTGAATGATGGGTCTCAGCTGTCTGATCAAGACCAGCTTTGGTTTGTTTCGAGAAGGTGCTACCCGTGTCACATCTCCAGTGCTGTTTCCATATGGATCTGGAAACCTCAAAAAGAAACTTGGCATCAACTTGCCTTAACCTTGTGATCTCAAGCACTTGTGCTTGTTTCAGAAATCTAAAACTGGGAGAAGAGGATAGAGGGAAGACATTTTTGAGCTTCTTAGGTGTTTTACCAGTCTATTATTTCCTAGAAAAGCTGAACAAGCAAAGACTGTGCAGATAAAAAAAAAAAAAGACAAGCCAGACATTACCAGTGTTACCTGTCCAACACAGTCCTGAGCTCTGAAGGAAGATTGCAGTGTAAATACTCACATTGTATGGGTTGTCTGGATTAAATGTTTGATCAGTTTCTTGTGCCATCGGCCTGGTTTCGTTAGCCTGGTGGCCAAGCTCTTGAGTCAGCTGCACGGTGTGTGACCTGGGGTTTACTTCTTCAGAAGCAGCTTCCAAGTCTTCCTCATCAAAGTTTGGTTCTGGCTGGCGCTTGTTTCTCTTCATTTGTCTCCTCTGGTTATCTGAAGGAATAATCACCAAGGGACAATCTTACCTTGAGTGTGTCATTGTAGTTACCTAATATTTCAGTGATTTCTTTAAATATTAAAAAAGGAGAGGATGGAGGGCAGAGAGAAAGCCAAAACTGTGCCTTGGCAAACTTGACGTGCATCGCCATGGGAGCTGCTTGCCTTCCTCCGTTTTGTCTGCAGCCAGTGCCAGTCCAAAGCAGTGTGATTGCCTTCCCCCCCTCCCTCTTCTCTCCTTGAGGCAAAATTTGAGGAGATTTGTTGGGGCTTTTTTGACCCAGCCTGTAGTCACTAACCCAGCAGCAATTCCCAGCACTAGCAAGACCAGCTGTTCACATCTCGCTTATTTTAAAAAATGCTTTTAGGGTGGAATGGTGCCCTGCTCTCAAGGATATCTGGTTCTGGACAGCTTTGATACTGTTCTTTTGTTGCCCAGTAGGATATGCAAGGGAAGTGGAAAATATTGGTAGCTTGGTGCTTAGTCCACAGGTGATCTAAACTGTGGTAATTTTTTTTTCACACGTTGTCCCACCTGTTGTCCAGTTCTGATATTAACTGGACCAAGGAGGAATACATATTTTTGAGCCTTCTCTCCTCCGAACCCTGGAAGTTACCTGGAGGAGTTGCCATCTTCCTGGTGACTTCTGAACACCTTTGCTAAGCTTGCCTATGGCGGCCCCAAGTTGAGAGCTGGGACTGCCCCAGGGTCTCAGAAACCACCCACCAGGTGGCTGGCTTAAAGCATCTTGCTTCCACTCCACTGAATTCCTCTGGGGAAGCAGGGTAGAAAACAAGACAGGCTATGGTCCCAAACTCCTGACACCTGTTACCTGGTGTCAGCTGCCTACACATTGAGGGGGCTAGTTTAAGCTCTTGTCTTGTCCTTCTCTAGAAGTAGACTAACCTCTCTGGAAATGTTTCATTTCCTAGCAAGTCACCCACTTGGGTTATGCAAATTGTCTGAGTAAATACAAGGATGGAAAATATCTAGGGGATAAACTCCAAACCCACAATCTTGGCACGAGCCCAGGAAGGCGTGGGCAAGGGAGGAAAGGAGCCTGGTTTCCCAGATGTGCTAGTTTCAGTAGCAAACTTGATGAAGGAAGACATTTAGATGAAGGGAGGGATAACATACTTTTCAAATAAAAGAAATGTTACCTTTGGGATATGTTGGTCGCAGCCAGAAAATTGGAAGATCCCTGCAAAGCTCTAGAATTTTGGGGCTTAGGAAGCTGTTATGCTTGATAGGCTCATCTGCAGCCACCCAGATAAGGGAGTTTTTGTCAAATCTCACAGGCATGATTTCATCTTCCTGCAAATAGAAGAGCATAAATCCTTTGCTGCTCAGTGAGCAGTCACGTGCCTGCTTGCTGCTAATTCTTGAGCAGCAAACTGTATAATTATCCGCTGCAGCTAATGCTGAGCATCCTTCTATGTCATCAATGTGAGGGAATCGTGCTGAGCCAAAGCCTGGGGAGAGGCTGCCTCCACTGAAATGAGGGGCAAAGCCTCCATCAGCTTTGCTGGGGCTGTGATTTCACCCATCTCACTCCTGGAAGGCTTCTGCCCCATGCATGAGGGCTGGGTGACAGAGTTCTTTCAGCTCAAAGCACCAGAATTTCAGGTGCTGGAAACCAAAGTTGTACCACCTTCAGCAAAGCAGCAATGGAATAGTCCTTCATCTTTTTTTAAGTCCTGTTCTCATTTGACATACTCCCAATATATAACTCTATTTACAATGTGTGTATGGGGGGGGTGAGGGGAGGAACTTGTTCAAAAGTTTTAGAGAAGATTATAGGTTGAGAACTGCTCCAGCTTCCAGTTTCAAGTCAATGTGATCGGTCTGATTAAAGGTCTTGTTTGGTAAAAGCAATTCAATTGACCAAAAGCTTGAAGTGCAAGTTAAAGGAGCCTGCCTTTTTGAAGTGTACCCTGCAGGTTTTTGGTTCATATCTTCAAAGTAATGTAGGAAAATGCCAGTGATTGATTCTTTAAAGTTGTTAGTTCAAAGTATTATTTTACATAAAATGTGTAAGTATTTTATAGCAACGGTGAAATATTAAAAGAAAACTAACTTTTGAATCATGAAAACCAGCATGATTTCAAAGTTAAAATTCTAAATTGCGTTCATAAAAGTCATCAAGACTTGTTATATAACTGACTAGATCAATTTATTCCCTTGAGTTGTTGTTTCTTTAGTGTTTATTGATTTATTTTGTAGGTCTCAAGTCATTTAAGTTTGCTATCCAGTCTGTCTACTGCTCTTTATTTACATTCTCCCACTTAAGCTTTTATCAACATCAGAAATATCTGACTCTAATTTTCAGAAATAAAAATATCCTTTGTTTCTGTTTGAAACGATCCTGACTTGTGAGCAGCCAGCACATGGGTATCTATAAAACTCATTTTACTCAACAATTTTTGTAGGTAGTGTTGCTGTGATGCCCATTGCAGGAAAATAGCATATGCATACTTTTTCCTAAATACTTCCATATCAGAGAGATGACTTGGCCCAGAAAAATAAATACTACTTTGCCATTCCTGTAGTACATCTGGCCTGGAAAATTGAGTGAGGGGGAAAAGTTAATGTCTTAGTGGTAGCTCTGAGCTGCTTGGTGCATGTGATTCATTGCAACAGTCACATAGGTGATGCATCTTGGGAGAAGATGCACAAAAAACAGGACAAGGAAATAGTTTTACTGTCAGCAGGTAGAATTAGAAATAAGTTTTTGATTATTTAGGATAATGTCTTCAGGTCTGTGACTTTGTTTTTACAAAAAGATGAAAAATTCAAACTTTGACTTCAAGCAATAGTGCTAATTAAGTCAAGGCCAGCTGCCTTAAAAATAAGGCAAGGCAGGAAAGATGGAACTCTCTGTCTGGAATTCGTGCAAGTTCTCTTTCCCATCATGGGAAAAATCCTGCCGGCTTCAGGAGGCTTTGTAACATTTGTCAGCCTTTCTGACTCTATTAGGAAAGATCTTTTTCCCCTTAATTTTAAAGCAGATGTTCAGCAGTCACAGCAGCACTGCAGGAGGTGCAGCCTTAACAGCGCCTCTCTCCCCGCTAACTTGCTTTTATTCTCCCAGGAGCAGAGCAAACCCAGGGAAAGGGGCTGTGGATCCCCTGTGCTTTCCTGCCAGTGACTGAGCATCCAGCTGCATCCAGACTCAGCTGGACTCAAGTCACTGGAGCCACTCCTGTGTGAGCAATAACTTTGGGGGTCTGAGCTCTGGGAAACTCAGGCTTTGAGCACATAAAGCAGTTGGCTTTTTGGGCAAATGTGAGGAGATTTGGTGGTATCTGGGTGAGAGCTGCAGCTTCTGTGCTGGTTATGATACAAATTCTATGAAATTTAATTAACATGTAAAATTAAGTTTTATGCTAAGAAGGTTAAGTCATATTTTTTATAATAAATTATTTATTCTGAAATAGTTTAAATTTTGCCATGTTTTCCACAATTCCCTTTTTACTGTCTAGAGTGATGGAGTTCATGTTTCTGCTCAAAAGCATTGACAGAAATCTCCTGGGATCTACCACAGTCCTCCTTTGGATTGACTACAGCAGCTGCTTCTTCCACAGCCTCCCTTCCAGCCTTGTGCACAGCCTGGTCTCAGGCAGGTGCTCTTGTCATGGAGATCTCCTGTGGATCTGGCAGAAATCAGTCTGTGGCTTCCCCACTCACTAATCTGCAGCCTCTCACGATGTCCCTGGACACAGTGACATGTCTTGACACCAACCTTGTTTTTCTTACCTTTCAGGGTCTTCTTGCAACCAGTCATTGAATCCCAGCTATCCCACCCTGTCCCTACCATGAGCCAGAGTGGCTTCCAAATGCCATTTTTATTTGTATTTCAGTACCTCCTTTAGGCTGTCTCTATACAAAGATTAGTTAAAAAACCAACAAACTACCCCTTACCAGCTCAGATGAGAGGCTCGCTTTAGCCATAGCATCAACTTCAGGGATGTGAGCTTTTGGCTGAGCTTTGATGTAACACTTTTCTCCTTCAGCAAAACGGATCCCAGTTATGCCCTGCAAAAGCAGAAGGCAGGGGGTTGTGCACAGCCCTCCAGCTCCTCACCACCCCCAAGAAAGTGCCTCAGCTCTGCTAAAATTGCCACTGAATTTTCAGTCTGAAGGGTAACCTTATTTAAAACCAGAAGCAATAAAACACTCTTCCCTTCATCATTTTAGCTTCACAATTTTGGTCAAATTGGTCTGGAAGTTTTTGCTTGATTCCTGAAAGTGGGGGGGTGTTTTATGTAAGTGCTTCCATGCAGGCTGTAGGCTACCTGGAGTAGCTCTGTTAAGGAATTAGTTGACATTATTTGAACTGTAACTTAGCACCTAACATAGGCAGTCTTGAAATTGTGCTAGCTGGTGGCATGGTACCCTTGTGACACAGTTTAACAAAAATGTGGGGGCAGTTTGGTTCAGTCTGTACAAATAAGTGACTGTGACGGCAAAGGGAAGTTTGTGACGGGCAGTTTGGTGCAGAAATCTGTGTGTGGGACTTTGTCTAGCCTACTAGGGCGAAATGCAGTTGCATAAACCATAGATGTCTAGTTTTGAGCAAGAGAAGGAGCAAGTTTCCTGCAAGTCCTGGGACATACCTTCCAGCTCGTGCCAGAACCTTGGGCATCCACACCTTGCCATTGTCTGTAGTGTCCATGTTTCCACTGTAGGCTTTGGTTATCCATAAAAGAGATCTCTTCTACATTATAAATTTAGATACCTCGTTGTAAATGGCAAAATTGTTGTGTTTTTCATGTGATTGCACAAGTCAACCACCTAAATATAATTACCTAGTGTCCTTTAAGTTGTGCTGGTTTTCTGCCTGGCCTCTAGCTGCCAGAGAAAGGGGTGTGGGTGTCAGCATGACCCCTCTCATCTGCCTTGAAGAGGTATCAGGGATGCCTTCGTGTGCGGTGCTGGGTGCCACAATGGCAGACATTAAACTGTTAGGGGGTGTCCAAAGGAGGGGGACATGGTGAAGGGCCTCGAGGGGAAACTGTGTGAGGAGCAGCTGAGGCCTGTTCAGCCTGGAGGAGACTGAGGGGAGCCCTTGTTGCAGTTTCAGCTTCCTTGTGAGGGGAAGAGGAGGGGCAGGCACTGACCTCTGCTCTGTGGTGACAGTGACAGGACCCCAGGGAATGGCCTGAGGTTGTGTCAGAGGAGATTCAGGTTGGATATCAGGAGAAGGTTCTTCAGCCAGAGGGTTATTAGGCACTGGCACAGCCTCCCTAGGGAAGTGGTCACAGCACCAGCCTGGCAGAGACCAAGAAGTATTTGGACAGTGCTCTCAGGCACACAGTGTGACACTTGGGATGGTGCTGTGCCAGGAGCTGGACCTGATGATCCTTGTGGGTCCCTTCCAACTCAGCAGATTGTCATGTAGTGCAGCATGAGATGGATGGTACTGGGGCACCTGAGCCATTGTCCTGTGTGTCTGCAGGTCCTGTGTAGCTACAGGACACAGCCCCATCACAACAAAATGACTACAAAAAGCAGTGAGAGAGGAGATGGCTATTCAAGGATGGATGCATTAGGATATAAGGCTTTGTGGTGTACCAGGTGTTCTAGGAATACCCTATATTGCCAAATCCAGGCCTTCTCTGACCATGCAGTCATTCCAGCAGTGCCAGTCATCCTAAATTGTTAATGTAAATACCAGTCTGTTGGAAGCCCATCTCTTCAGTTGCTTTCTCCTTTGTGTGCATTCTTGGCTGAAAACCCAAGTGGCATCATCCCTTTGCTGAGGTTGTCCCTGGCCCTCTGTAATGACAAGCAGGCACCGTCCCTGGGAGGTCCCTTGAGCCGGTTGGTGTTGGGAGCTGATTTGTAACCTGGCTGTGACAGGCACTAACTCACAGGCAGCAACACACATGGAGCAAACATGAATTCAGCATCTCTCCAGTGGACTGTGCTTCTGTGCAGATGTGAAATGGCAAAGGCAAATGAGAAGAGCTCGCTGTGGATGCTCCTACTCAGCTGCTGATAATGTTGCTATGGTGATGTTAATGAGAGTTGCATAAAGGCAGAACCACAGCTGTTGGGAAAGTTGTGGGTCCAGCATCTCCTGGCATGGATTCGTTTGTTCTTGCTCAAAAGCCAAGGAGCTGGATTTCCTTGCCTTTCTAGATCCAGCAAGGGGGAGGTGGCTGCTCCAGAAGCAGAGAGGCTTCCTAGCAGCAGCACCTTTGTTTTAGGTGCTTCTTTGACTTGCAGAGGGCTTAACTCTGAAGCTGAGTGTTTTGCACCTGAGACCATTAAACTGCAGGCTCTGGGCCCTGTGATGGGTTTGTGCAGCATCACACAGATGTGCCTTAGTAGCTCAGGGCAGCTCAGAGACCTACTCTGTCTGAGCTACTGAGCTCTGCTGAAGTTTGGCATCTGTCAGTCCAGGCTCTACTGGGTAGCCACAAGTTGCTGGGGTGCCCAAGTGTGTTTGCTGTCAGCCCGAGGGGCCCACACCTGGCATTGGTGCACAGATGCATAAACTGTGCCAAATGCCTCCATCCTCTGCCATGGGGATGAAACCAGGCCAAGCCATGGAGAGCAGCTCCCATCCTTAACCTCAGGGCAAAGGAAGCTCCCCAAGTCAAGCACTGCAGAGTGGTCTCTCCTTGGCCTACTGTATTGACCCTCTGCTCCTCAGACAAGGATGTCTGGGGGAGGTGTTTCTGCCAGTTCAAACCACATGAAATAGTGACAGAGTTGTGTCACAGCCTGACAGAATGTTTTCCTAGTTAGACCCCAAGGTCTCATGTCACATCTCTGCTCAGCAGTTTGAAAATGCAAAGTATTTACATGGAGTCAAACCCAATGCAGCCTAATCCACACCACTTCCTGGAGTGGTACCTGGCATGGCTGATCTCCAAAAAGCACTTTGATTTTTGTTTTGGAGGAAACTGCCTGTCTCCCTAGGAATGCAAGCCAGGAGAGCAAAAATGTTTGTGTGGATGGTTGGAGGCTGGAACCTGAGACTAAGTGGGGCAGAGAAGTCAGGTCAGAACAAGGTGTCCTTAAGAGTCCAGCACTGGAGTGTGTTACATGAAGGACAAGAGTGGCACTACTTACGATCTGAAAATCGTGGACTTCAACTGCCTCTTCACTCCCACTTCCTGTTTTGAATGTCTCTAAGTTGTTTCCAGCATCTATTTCCATTGATCCATCTTGTACTTTTCCATTAATGCTCATAGTATAGTGGACGTTGTACACCTGGAATCAATAAAAGAGCAGTAGCACATGCCAGTAATTACTTACTGCCTTCCTCCTACACCAGGCAATGGTCAATCTGACTCTCATATCCCTATTTAGCTCCCAAATTTTGCTGCTGCAGGCATTTGATAACCCTCCAGCAACCAACAGTGCACTACTTCAGCACTGGGGTCAGCTGGCAGTGGGGCAGCCAGCCCTGAGAGGTTGTTTGGTCTCCATCCTTGGAAGTTTTCACAGCCTGACTGGATAAAGCCCTGAGCAACCACCTCTGACCCCACGGCTGTCCCTGCTCTGAGCATCAAGTAGGACTAAAGATCTGAGATCCCCCTTCCAGGGAGTGCTTATAGTTTTACTTCAAAAACAATGTGGGGTGAGTCCACATCCATGTTCACTCTGGCCTAAAAACCCTCTTCTAGGACATTTAGGAATTTCTTGTTATGCTGGCATGATTCCCAAAGGACAGCAGGCGTGAATGTCCTGCTCTGAAGGAAGCCAAGCCTTGTTTATCTCTTAGGATGTACTGCTGAGGCACAGGAAAACAGGTTCCTCTTGAATACGAACACACTTCCCAGCTTGTAATGGATGTGAACTTTGTTTAAATTGGATGTGAAGTTGTATAGGCTGGTATTTTCCTTGTCAGCGTATTTGCCCTTATCCTATTTTCAATGAGGAGAGCTACGGCGTGGTTTGTATTTGCTGGAGGACCACAATCTTGTGGAGGGGTTTTGTGATTCTCCTGTGCAGCTCTGCTAAAAGTGCTGCACAAGCAGTTTATTTTGGGTCTTAAAAAAGCCCTTACAGCATTTTAATGAAAAATTTACACTGACAGCTAGAGACAAATTTCTTCTTCTCTCACCTTCACTCAGGGAAGTCTAAGGTGCTAAAGATTTATGGTTCCTCAGTTATACACAGCCACTCCCATCTTTCTGCTTTCTAGGACTCCTGTTGAAAGTGGTCCATAAAACCAGACCAGTGTATGGTCTCCCCCTGACAGGGGCTGAGCTGGAGTTGAGATTTTGATACCCCTGTCATTTAGGGAAGAATTTAAAGATATAAAATAAAACCAAGAATTTTAAAATTGTGTTAGTTTTTTAAAATTAATTACCCTGGATATAATTTTTGCAGTTGCTTCCTAAACATTTGCAACTCAAGTGCAGCTTTCTGAGTTTGAAGGCAGTTTGGAAAAATAACTCTCAGCTTTCCCAGTGTCTTCACCTAGAGAGCAGCTTTGAAGCTTAATGGAAACTGTGAATGTGACATATTTTGTATGGCTGAATTTAGATGACAGGAGCATTAAAAAAGGGAAGCATTATCTTGTACTCCACAAATGCACCTACCTGCTCAGAGCTGAAAGCACTGTCCCCTGCCTATGCCACCATTTGCATCCCTCTCCCTTTTCAAAAGTCCAGAGAAACACACAGTTCTTACAGCATGTCTTAGAGGTCAGCAGTGTGTCCTGTCTTTTTGCTGTAAAACCTTGTACCTTTCTTTCTGATTATCTGAATTATCCCTGTGTGTAGGGGTGTATCTCACAGGGCCACCTTTGCTCTGGCTGCTGGAATTCACACAAGGCTCTCCTTGATGAGGGCTGGCGTGTGGCCAGAGGCAGTACAAAACTTCTTCCAAAGTAAATTCAAAGGTACTAATTTAATTTATGGAGAATGGTACAGTCATGTGTGTACCATCATGTTTCAAATATGTTTTAAACACAGATTCTGTGTAAACAGAAAGAAAAATTAATCTGTAAACATGTTACAATGCTCTGAAGTTTGAGTCTTTAACTGATCACCAGCTTCTCAGTTTCATTCTTTCCATAAAGTGTTTCTCATGTACCCCAGAAACTGTAAATAATAAAACTTAACTTCAAAAATTGCTCCACAGCTGCAAACCTAAGTGTATGCACAGGTATACAAAGCACCAGAAATAACAGTGCCTGTTAATGGGTTAATTACAGTATTATGTACTTGAGGGTCCTGGTAGAACCTGGACTGAGAATGCAGATGCTATGAAAAAAGAATTTACACATTTCAATGTTTTTTTGTCCTGAGAGCTGGAGCTTGCCCAGGATGTGAATCCCCAGGGACTTGTTGGGGTTTGAGTTCACTGAGGATTTGTGAGCAGAAATCAATGTGCAGTCTATGCTCTCAAAGACGTGTTTCGTGTTTGCTAATAAATGTGCTTCCAGGAAGCTCCATCCGCACAGCCGTCAAAGACAGCGATTATGGGTTTGGGTTTTTAGGTGTTTGGGGGTTTTTGAACGGAAAAAACCCTACAGGTCTGCTTAAAGACCTCTTTATAGACCTCCTCGCAAGGAGCGCTTCCAGCCCGTGCCTCCCG